TTACCTTTTTTACATTTTCATCATGGCAGACAAGAGAAGAGTTGAAATCCTCTGTGAAACAGCTGGAAAAGATATGTGGGTCAGAGGAGGAATTCAAAATTATTGTAATTTGTAAGTAATTGTAATTTGTATTATTATAAGTAATTTGTGTGTGTTTGTGTGTGTGTGTGTGTGTGTGTTTTACCTGCCTCTGCTGGCACGCGGGCTGGCACTTTATTTTTATATTTTTTAAAGCCCTGCCGCCTAGGAAATTCATTATATGGCGGGTGCAGCAGCATGGCTTCGGCAGGGCTTTCGGAAAGCCGCACCAGGGCTTTGGCACGGCTTTCCGAAAGCCCCGCCGAAGCCCCGCTGTTGGCAGACCTAGGGAGGCAGACATAGGGCGGCTTTTGCCCACTTGCCTCACTGGCCATAAACCTCACCGCACGTCACTGTTCATAGTGCTTTACAGCCCTCCCCAAGTGGTTTACAGAGTCAGCATATTGCCCTCAACAATCTGGAACCTCATTTTTCCCACCTCAGAAGGATGGAAGGCTGAGTCAACCCTGAGCCAGTCAAAATCAAACTGCGGGCAGTTGGCAGAGTTAGCCTGCAATACTGCATTCTAACCACTGCACCAGTTTCTCCTGGTTTGGCCCAGATTAGGCAAACTGGTAGTGGCGGTGGTGGGAGGCTCCACCCACCAGCCTAGATGCATCTGTGCATGCACAGAAATGTGGCGCGCAGGTATGCGTGCACACCTGCATGGGCGAACCAGTAGTAAAAAAAATAGAAACCCACCACTACACTGCACCACTATGACTAAATAAAAACTATTTATCTAGCAGTTATAGTTAGCATTTACTTTTCTCAAAACTAGTGTGTGATATGACAGTTAATTAAGGAAGCAAAATATTTTGAATTCACAGTGCTCCAACAAAACTAATTGTTTCAAAGCTATTCTGAGGGGTTTTTTTGGGGGAAGATGTATCAAATTTGAAATGAGTTGGTTTTGAGTTCAAAATGGGACTTCTCAAATAAACAGGGCTAATTCAAAATACTTTGAATTTCAGATTATTTTTCACACTCCTATAACCCATTCCAAGCAACAATATCTGTAACTACATTTTCCATAGTCCTTAAATGAAGAACATGTGATTTATAGCATACACCAAGGATGAACCATGGTGATGCAGTGGTTAGAGTGTAGTACTGCAAGCTACTTCTGCTGACTGCCGACTGACTGCTATTTGGCAGTTCAAATCTCACCAAGCGCAAGGTGAGGAAATATACATACAGTGGAGAAATTATGTACAGTATGCAGTTTATATACACTGGATCAAAGAAGTATATTATTTTAAAAACTGCATTCTAAGCACTGGCATATTAATTTAGTTAAACCACAGGCTAAAGGGTAGAGGAGAGTAAAGAAGCATTTCAGCACAGTTGCTCCATGGGAGCAAATAACATATGCCAGGCTAGTGAAGCTGTTCTCTACTAGTTTCGTCCCCCCGCTCCCAATACCTTCAGTCTGGCAAGATTCTTGTAAAACAGATGATCCAAAATAAAGAAACTGCTTTGACTTTTTCATGGAGTTGTTCTGGTTCATTGAACCTGACACCAATTGAAAACCTAAATTAAACTAAAATAGAATTAAACTAAACTAAACTGAAACAAAACAAACCATAGTCGATGTGCTGATGTCCTAGGTGTCCATTTTATTTTATTTTCTGCGATGTTTTCCTAAATATTATAATCATACCAATGATTTTGAGACCAACAAGCTTCAAGTTACGCAACTGTCTAGTTGGACCCAGTTACTAGTTTCTGTGCACCAACCTTGTAATTTTCTGGGTAAAAAACACTTCTTAAAAAACAAATGAGTAAAACCCATTTTTCTTTTCAATTTAGAGAGCTGCATTATAATAGCAAATAGAATATTTTGTTCTGCAGACATTTCTCAGCTGCACTTGTCACTTACATATCTCTTTAAAAGCTATGGCTTACCCTTCTAACCACTTAAGTTCTTTATTGGCAGTAGGGTTGCCTGAAATTAATACATTTTTTGAAATACATTTGCAAAGTTCATCCAGAAGTATCAAGACTCTAGTGAGTGTTTTAGTAAGTAGCAAATCTATTATGGAAATTGTAGGTTTGTAATTAGAAAGAACATATTAACGTATTTCTAAACTTTGTTTCAGTAATGCAGTAAAACATACAATACCCTAACTTATATTTACCCTGGTTCCTTAAGTCTTTTGCTTGAGTGAAAGAACCGCTGGGCATACAACTAGTTGTTGACTTAGAGACATTTGCTTAGCAACTATTTGAAGTTACAACAACACTGAAAAAAGTGACTTGTGACTATTCTTTGCATTTACAACTGTCACAACACCCCCATCGTCATGTGATCAAAATTTGGATTCTTGGCAGCCAGCAAAATACCTCTGACAAGTAAAGTCAATAGGGTAAGCCAGATTCACTTAACGACCATGCCATTCATTTAGCAATTACAGTGATTTGCTTAACAATCATGACAAAAAAGTTCATAACATTGGACACAAGTCTCTTAACAGCTGCCTTTCCTGGCAATGGAAATTCTGGGGCCTGTTGTGGTTGAAGGTCCAAGACTATCTGTAATTACTGTATATCGTTTGCACTTTACTGTAAGAAACTCAGTAAACATCTTGCAGATTTTATTAGAATTAATTTGCATTTGTAGGCCATAATGGAAGAGAGTTTCCATGTAAACGTCAGTTTAATCAGTGGAACCCTTATCCAGGGTATATTAAAATATGCCTGTTAATATTTCATCTCTGATTTGTAAGAATGACTGTCAATACAAATGCAATAAAAAGAGAAAAGCAAACTTTATGAATCTTGCCTACAGAGCTTGATTTCAGCCTTCGAAAGTGATATGAGTTTGAATCATTCTATGCTATTCTGTGCTATTTGCTTTCTCTGAAATGGTTAATTTAACATATTCATTTGTTTTCTTCTTATGGGTCCTTTTATGTACAGATACCGGCAGCACAGAGTGTTCTCTTCAGTTTCCAGATGACGATTATGTCTGGTGGGACATCTTTATGAAAATCTGTGTCTTTGTCTTTGCCTTTATTATCCCAGTCCTAATTATTATTGTTTGTTACACTCTGATGATCCTCCGCTTGAAAAGTGTGCGGCTCCTGTCTGGATCACGAGAAAAAGATCGAAACCTCCGCCGTATCACTAGATTAGTTCTTGTTGTCGTTGCAGTTTTCATTATCTGTTGGACTCCCATCCACATTTTTGTGTTAGTTGAGGCTCTTGGAGATGTCTCACACAGCACTGCGGCCATTTCTAGCTACTATTTCTGCATTGCATTGGGCTACACCAACAGCAGTCTAAATCCCATTTTGTATGCTTTTTTGGATGAAAACTTCAAGCGTTGTTTCAAGGATTTCTGCTTTCCTTTTAAGATGAAGGCAGACAGGCAAAACACCAGCAGAGTTAGAAACACAAGTCATAATCCTGCTCATGCTGGGAACGTTGATGGTGCAAACAAGCCAGCATGACTAGTTGTGGAAATGTCATCATATAGTCCTCCTGGAAGAGAAGAATCCAATGATCTTGGATTAACGCAAATAACTACAGCAGTGTGAAACGGACAGTAAAAGGACCATTTGATATTATTTACAAAGCCCCACAGTTTCAACTGAAATATAGCCACCAAGATGTCCTTCATCTATGTTCACTGATGATAAATTCTGTTTCAACAGAACTTTGTATATCACAAAGTAATCATCTGGAGCAGAAGAAGAGAACTAGTTGCCCCTCCCCCAGACACCTTTATGTATGTTTTATGTGGATGTTTTAGTGATTGCTGACATTTTTTTTATTAAGGAGTAATGTGATTTCAGCATATCACTAGTTTTATTGTACTTGTCAGAACAGCAAATCAGCATTTCCTTTTATTGATTATATTGATTGAGTATGCAGTACTTTTTCAGCTATTTATATGGCCATGAATAATGCAAAAATGTGACGTGAAGCCTTCTATTGCAATGGTTTGGAAATTTCTTCTGAATGGTTTCACACAGTACTGTAATGATTGATATGATGATAATGTGTCATGTGATCTACGGAAGCATTTTAATTGTGGATTTTCTATTTTCAATTAATAGCTTTTAATTGGAGAGAACACTATATATGATGAATAAGGCTATGTGAATTTTATTTACTTAAGCAATTTGTATTGTACTATTGGGGTGCCCTAATATTCATGGGCTAGAGCTTAGTGTGAAAATTCTGTGTCCATTCTCCAGGTGAAATAATCAAGTGTCAAGTAATTAAAGACTTCATTAAACCTGATGGACAACCAGGCTGTCCCAAACAAAATTATGAATGGTACAATCCAAAGTAACTATATTGACCAAAAACTATAGCTGTTAACATATACAAAAATTAGGGATCATATATTAGTAAACATATCTAATTCAATTATGATATGCAGTCAAATCATAGAATTAGAAGCTCAATGTTTTCATTAGCCTCTATCAAATTAATTCATCTCATTCACTAACAAAGTTTATAACTGAGTGCAATTTTGTTAAGATGATCCCTAATGGAAATACTTTTATTTAAAAAAAACAAAACTATTTGTATAATGTGAATTGCTGAGAGTTGTTTGGATGTGAGCATTCATTAAATATACCAGTATGTCAATCAATCTATCAATCAATCAAATCAGGATAGGGTGATCTTGAGGTGTCATGGTGGAACAATTAGATATAAGCCAAAGGAGTTTCTCAGATTGGAACTTGGCAATATTTGGCTCCAGAATAATGTATTCATTGCCCTATCACATAGTTCTAATGTTTTGCATAGTAGCCCTTTTATAACAATGCTGATCATGTCCTTTCAAAATTTGCTTACCAACCTGTAATGAATTGAGATCCCAATTCTGCCTAGAAGCCGCAACTAGAAATACTTGTTAAATATTAAACAATAAAAGCATGTGCTATTTTTTAAAACTGTTCAATATGATCTTTACTATATAGGTCAACTTTAGAGGATATGGACAGATAATTTACTCTTTCTCTAACTATTATGATCCTCTTGAAAATGACTTTTCACCTTGAAAATATTATTTCAATGTTTAAACTGTGACTCATCATTGTATTAACATAATTAATTTCACATTATTTTTTAAAAAAATAGTTACAGAAGGAACTTGTAGATCACTTGAGTCATTATTTTGCATGTAGCGGTTTCTAACAAGCAAACATATAAAGATGAGAACTTATATTAACCCAACTTAATAATAATGAATAATAATGAGCTTATAGCCCAACACAGCAGCCAATATGTTAGACATAATGCAATGGGGATTGACAAGTGGAGAGTTAGTTTCAAAAAAGGAGGGTCCTAGTGGGGGAATTAAGAGGCTTTTAAAGCAGTAGTGGGATTCAAATAATTTAACAACCGGTTCTCTGCCCTAATGACCATCTGGGTAGGTGGGGCTCAGTGGTCATGTGACTGGGTAGGCGTGGCCAAATCAAGGTCACTCAGGTCGATGGGTGCTTCACCTTAGCTGTTACAATGTAATAAGAGTTAATCGGAGAGGCAGTTTCTGTAAGCAGGTCAATAAAGATTAGATTAGAAACAACACTACCTTCCTTACAGGTCTGGTCAGTTTCAGAAAGCAGCAATTGCCATCCAGAGGATTCTAATCAACTAATTAAGATTACAGAGTTGAACTTGTTAACTTGCTGTTAGCACTTTTTAAGGATGTGCTGTGCTGTGGGAAACATCAACTCAAGAAGGGATGGCTTGTTTAAGCTCTCTCTCTCTCTGCACTACAACTGCAGACAACTGCAAACAACAAATGTTTTTATGTACTGAAGTATTCAATATAGATGTCAAATGCTTAATGAAGTACCAAAAAAGTTTAAGGCTCAGGATTAACTCTAATAATCCTAGCATTTATTGAGTTTTCTTGGAAGGCATACATCTACAAAAGTTTTCTGCTGTAACTGAGCCTTAGTATTTTGCTATAGCTTTCACTCCTGACCTTGCTCATTCTTTACTCTTGTCTTTTTTCCAGAAGGTCTGGCTGCTGCTGGCTGCACATTTCATATTTTTATTGTTTTTATTCTTCTCTTTTGTGCTCACCAGGATAATAAATTTGGAAGATCATATATTCTATATAAAACTCCTGATTACAACTCTGTAATATTTTAGTCAGGGATAGAGTTGGGACAACTGGATGGAATTTAGCGTTTACTGGCTGGATGCCCTTCCTGACACCATGGAGAGTTCACAGCAGATATGCTTTCTTTGCACCTAGGAGAGAAACATCTGCTGCTATTTAGGATTAAACTCTCAACCTTCCAAGTGGAAGGCAAGTTCTTTATCACTAGGCCACCACACCACTCATATATTCTCATACTATATATTCTGTATCTATGGAGTAAAAGGTTAGCAGGGAATAATGGCAGGTGATATTGGCTGGAAATTAAAGCTCCCTTCAGTGCTATTTAACCTTTGTCATGGGTGCTGCAAAATTTACTAAATATGTCAGTTTGTGATATAGAGGAAAGGCATAGAAAACAAGTTTATTAACATAAAGAGTCTGAAAGAGAGACATTTCCAAAGTTTGTTTTGATAGCATCAGTTGCTTGGAAAGATTAGATCAGCATAGACTTTACAAAAAAGTCCATTCTGCATCTATTATTCATACTAGCAGAAGGGCAGTATGTATTAATTCACAGCAGGAAACAACATATGTATTTTATTGCTAGACACAACTGATAATTAATGACTATGCTTAGAAATACTGTGAATAAAAATCACAGGTAATCTTGAAATATAATGACATGTCCCTTTATTTTTTTGTTATTGTTTATAGCTTAAATACACATGCTCACACACACTACATAATGCAGAGGGTAATTGTGATTATGTTAAGCAGTACATTGGCTTGGAAATAAATATGAAAGATACTCTACATATTTTGTAATGAATGAAATAGGAAGCAAGCACTTGGAATTGTTTTGCTTGCATCTCTTCATATTAAGGAATCGACTTAATTCACTGAACTTCAGTGCAGATGACAGCCCACCCTATCCAGAAAATTATTTTGTATTTCAATGTAATAAACCAACTGTCTATATTCAGCTTCCTTTATCTAACATTTTTAAAAATATGATCTTATTTTTTTTCAGCATAAGCTTGTCAATTTGTATACCCAAATAAGTTGGCTGATGACCTTAGGTAAGCTTTAACCCAGGTTTCCCCAACCTTGGCAACTTTAAGTTATGTGTATTTCAACTCCCAGAATTCCCCAGCTAGCATGCTGGGTGTTACATTTTAAAATTGCCAAGGGTGAGAAACACTGCCTTAGTCTCTTAATTCCCTTTCCACTTGAATAATATTATATATTGTATTTGTGTTAGATTGTTTCACTAACAGTTAAAAGTATATGTTTTAATAGTATCTAAAATCTGTTGACTGTTTTCTTGTAACTTGACTCATGAGAATATCAAGTGGGAAAATATTTTATAATATTATGGTTTCCAGACTTCAGATTTCTAGGGTTCACAGGGAATCATAGAACAGCAAGCAGCTTGTGTGATTCAAAATGTACTGTTAACTCTAAAATAAGTAGGCTTTGGCTGTATGAAGTATAAAAATTCAAATGAATGGGATATTTCAGTAATGGAACTATTTAGAAAGTTAAATTTTTTAGCTATTGTTATGGAATGTCTAGACTTGCCAATTTCATTATTAATTTAGAAGAAAATGGAGATATTATTGGTCTTGAAAGAAGCATAGTAATCAACTTTTTTTCCTGGATTGTATTAGGGTATTAATATGTGAAATGGGGGTGTAATGGCTTTCTTCACAAGACTGCAGGTGGAAATAGTGGGGAGGAAGGCCTTTGCCCAATTCTTTTAGCTAGAAAAGATGTTCGGAAGTTGGTTAGTGATGCATTTGTCATTTGATTGCTACAATTCACTCTACATGGAGTGGCTTTTGAAGATTGCCCAGACACTTCAGCTTATAGAAAATGTGCTGCCCGAGAGCTTAAAAGACAATATTGGAATGATGATATAAAACTGCAAAACTGCTAAAGTTGTTATGAGAGCAGCATCAGTCCTTAATCTGAGTACAATTCAACGTACTGGCTCAGACTCTGGATATCTTAAGAGAGTGGCTATGCTAAGTAGATTCAGTACATGCTGAACTTTCCCTTATGTGAAATTCCAGTAAAATTCCAAAGAACAATTAAAATTTGGTTTTAATTGCCAGAAGGCCTTTAGTGATTAAGTAGTAACAGAAATTGCACACTATGATTGCTATGCACCCTCACAGCTGACATCATAGAACAACTCAAAGAAGTATTACAAGATTGGAAGATGTGAAGAAACCTGATCCTCCTCTTCCTAGATTGGTATTGTTTGTGCCCACTTTTTGGTTGTTTATTGTATTGTTCCTTGTAGTGTGTTTTGACTTGGCACTCTGTTTCGAACCAATTTATGCATCATATAAATAAATAAATAAACAATGAAAACCATGTATGGGAAAATTATTGCTGTACCAGCTTTCTTTATCCTTTCGATTTTTCATTTATCTGAAGTGGTGAACAGAAAATGTGGTGGGGAATCTATGTGTATCCTATAACAAGGCAAAAAAAGTTCTTAAAACTCAAATACTGAGATTCTCATTGCCCTCAATGTCATTGAGAACACCAAGTACAGGTAGTCCTCAATGTATGGCCACAAGTGAATCCAAAATTTCTGTTGTTAAGGGAGACATGTGTTAAATGAATTTTGCCTCATTTTATGAGCTTTTTGCCACAGTTGTTAAGTGAATCACTGCAGTTGTTGAATTAGTAACATGGTTGTTAAGTGAATCTGACTTCCCCACTGACTTTGCTTGTCAGAAGTCCTCAAAAGGTGATCTGCAGTGTTCCTGAGTTTAAAATTTATTTACTGCTTTAGATGTGACTCCAAACTAACTCTTGGCAACTCACAACAGAATAAACAATAAAAGTGCAACCAAAACAAATCAAGATTTGATGCTGTCATTTCATCCACAATCCAGAGAATACACATCCATCAAAGGGATCCATCCATTTTAACTTAAGCTTTGGGAAAATAAACAGATATTAAAGGATTTATTGAAATACAAGCTGGGTGGGAACCAAACAAATTTGGGAGGGAGAATCTCACTCCAGAGGGAAGGTGATGCAACAAGATGGCACAATTTATTTGAAAGAATTCAAGAGTGGGCCAATTCTGCCAACCTGGACAAAAACCATGGGACATGAGACAGGCAGTCCCTGAAATAAACTGGCCTTATGCCATGTACAGATACAGGTGATGAGCAGCATCTTGAATGGCCATGCTACTGCATGGCCACATATTGCTAACATATTG